AGTCTTGGGAAATCTGGATGTATCTGGGAGACTCCTTAAGTGGGCAGTGGAACTTGGGGAGTTCGACATTCAATACCAACCAAGGGCGGCCATCAAAGCACAAGAATTAGCAGATTTTATTGCTGAGTTTACACCAGCAGAAGAGGAGAATAATGAGGCATCCAGACCAAGCACCCAAGACAACACAGGTGCCCAGGCGTCCAGGCTTGGCGCCCAGACCCCTCCTAGAGACCAGCTCTCCTCTCCAGGCACCCTGTTCTCTTCTTTAGGCGCTCAAATCTCCTCTCCAGGCACCCAATTTTCCACCTCAAGCGCCCACGTATTCTCAGGGGCTCAGTCTAGCTTCCAGGCTCCTAGTGTAATCTCCGAGCCCTCCTCTCTACCACTTTGGAAGCTCTATGTAGATGGCTCCTTGACCAGCGAATGAGGAGGAGCAAGCCTGATCTTGATCAGCCTAGACGATACTCCCCTCAAGTATGCAGTGAAGTTCCACTTTACTACTTCCAATAATGAGGCGGAATACGAAGCACTCCTCTCTAGATTAAGATTGGTGGCTGAAATGGAAGCCTACCACCCGCCACCTACACTGACTCTCAACTANTTCTGCCTACAACATTATCCTAGGGCGACCAGCTCTCAACACCCTAAGAGCTGTGCCTTCCACCTACCATCTTATCCTCCGATTCCCAATTTTGAACGGAGTCGAAGAGATCCAAGGAGATCAAGTAGCTGCAAGAGAGTGTTACATCTCCTCAATGAAGACTAAAAAATCATAATAAGCATTGCAAGTGGAGGTCCTTGACCCGCGAGATGATACCAAGTTGGAAAGAGGAGAACCAGTAGAAGAGCTTAGATCAGTGGTCCTAGATAAGGAATATCCGGACCGAAAGGTATACATCATCTCTTCCCTTTCTGAGGATTTGGTCCACTAGCTAATGGACTTTCTAAGGCTCAACATGGACATCTTTGCATGGTCACATGTAGACCTCGAGGGTATTGACCCTGAGGTCACCACACACCACCTTAAAGTCAACCCTCACCACAAGCTTGTTCGCCAAAAGCTAAGGGGTGTCTCTACTAAAAGGGCTCAAGCGATGAAAAAAGAGGTGGGAAAGTTGATAGAGAACGGAGCAGTCAGAGAAGTGGCCTATTCTGAGTGGCTCTCAAATGTAGTGATGGAGACTAAAGCTAATGAGAAGTGGCGTCTCTGTGTCGACTTTACTGAGCTCAACAAGTTGTGTCCAAAAGACAACTACCCATTACCACAAATTGATCTCCTTATCGACACCACTGCGGGACATGAGCTGCTCACCTTCTTGGATGCATATTCTGGGTATAACCAGATTAGCATGCACCCCCCCAGACCATGAAAAGATATCGTTCATTACACCAAAGGGGACCTACTACTATAGGGTCATGCTCTTCAGGTTAAAGAATGCTAGAGCGACTTATCAACGGTTGGTAAACAAGATGTTCCAGTTACAGATCGGAAAAACAATGGCGGTATATGTGGACGACATGCTAGTGAAGAGTCTCGCCGCGGTAGACCACATTCACCACCTCCAGGAAACCTTCTATGTTCTCAGATCATACCGCATGAAATTGAACCCCGAGAAATGCGCTTTTGGCGTTGGATCGGAAAAGTTCCTGGGTTTTATGGTCAACCAAAGGGGAATTGAGACAAACCCCGACAAAATCAAGGTCATTCTCGACATGAAAGCACCTTCCTTGACCAAGGTGCTCCAACGCCTAAATGGGAGAATTGCAACACTAAATAGGTTCGTATCCAAGTTTGCAAACAAATGCTTGCCTTTTTTCAAAATTCTCCGAAAGCATTTGAGTGGGGACCTGAGGCAGAGGAAGCCTTCCAAAAGCTTAAGGCCTACTTGGTTACACCTCCTCTCCTCTCAAATGCTGCACCGGGCGAGACATTATATTTGTACCTCTCTGCTTCCACATCGGCGGTGAGCTCCGTCCTCATCAGAAACCACGATAAAGTACAAAAGCTTATCTATTATGTGAGCAGAGCCTATTGAGGAGCAGAAATCAGGTATTCAAGGCTAGAGAAGTTAGCACTCGCCCTCATCACAACAGCTAGGCGTCCACGACATTATTTTCAGAGTCACATCGTTGTCGTGATCACAGATCAACCTCTAAAGAGAGTCTTGGGAAATCTGGATGTATCTGGGAGACTCCTTNACCTTCTTGGATGCATATTCTGGGTATAACCAGATTAGCATGCACCCCCCCAGACCATGAAAAGATATCGTTCATTACACCAAAGGGGACCTACTACTATAGGGTCATGCTCTTCAGGTTAAAGAATGCTAGAGCGACTTATCAACGGTTGGTAAACAAGATGTTCCAGTTACAGATCGGAAAAACAATGGCGGTATATGTGGACGACATGCTAGTGAAGAGTCTCGCCGCGGTAGACCACATTCACCACCTCCAGGAAACCTTCTATGTTCTCAGATCATACCGCATGAAATTGAACCCCGAGAAATGCGCTTTTGGCGTTGGATCGGAAAAGTTCCTGGGTTTTATGGTCAACCAAAGGGGAATTGAGACAAACCCCGACAAAATCAAGGTCATTCTCGACATGAAAGCACCTTCCTTGACCAAGGTGCTCCAACGCCTAAATGGGAGAATTGCAACACTAAATAGGTTCGTATCCAAGTTTGCAAACAAATGCTTGCCTTTTTTCAAAATTCTCCGAAAGCATTTGAGTGGGGACCTGAGGCAGAGGAAGCCTTCCAAAAGCTTAAGGCCTACTTGGTTACACCTCCTCTCCTCTCAAATGCTGCACCGGGCGAGACATTATATTTGTACCTCTCTGCTTCCACATCGGCGGTGAGCTCCGTCCTCATCAGAAACCACGATAAAGTACAAAAGCTTATCTATTATGTGAGCAGAGCCTATTGAGGAGCAGAAATCAGGTATTCAGGGCTAGAGAAGTTAGCACTCGCCCTCATCACAACAGCTAGGCGTCCACGACATTATTTTCAGAGTCACATCGTTGTCGTGATCACAGATCAACCTCTAAAGAGAGTCTTGGGAAATCTGGATGTATCTGGGAGACTCCTTAAGTGGGCAGTGGAACTTGGGGAGTTCGACATTCAATACCAACCAAGGGCGGCCATCAAAGCACAAGAATTAGCAGATTTTATTGCTGAGTTTACACCAGCAGAAGAGGAGAATAATGAGGCATCCAGACCAAGCACCCAAGACAACACAGGTGCCCAGGCGTCCAGGCTTGGCGCCCAGACCCCTCCTAGAGACCAGCTCTCCTCTCCAGGCACCCTGTTCTCTTCTTTAGGCGCTCAAATCTCCTCTCCAGGCACCCAATTTTCCACCTCAAGCGCCCACGTATTCTCAGGGGCTCAGTCTAGCTTCCAGGCTCCTAGTGTAATCTCCGAGCCCTCCTCTCTACCACTTTGGAAGCTCTATGTAGATGGCTCCTTGACCAGCGAATGAGGAGGAGCAAGCCTGATCTTGATCAGCCTAGACGATACTCCCCTCAAGTATGCAGTGAAGTTCCACTTTACTACTTCCAATAATGAGGCGGAATACGAAGCACTCCTCTCTAGATTAAGATTGGTGGCTGAAATGGAAGCCTACCACCCGCCACCTACACTGACTCTCAACTAATCGTTAATCAAGTAAAGGGCGAGTTCGAAGCAAAAGGAACCAGAATGCAGGAATACCTCAGCATGGTGAAAAGCTTGATCACAAAGTTCCAATACTTTCAAATCTGTCACTTCTCAAGAGAAGACAACATGGCCGCTGATGCATTTGTCAGGCTCGCCTCATCCTTGGAAGCCCCCGCCACCTGACTGGAACCCCGTGACCTGTCCAGGCAGGTCGATCCCCGCTGTCATAGCGCAACATGGACGCAGCAGGTGAGGAGTATTCTTGGGTCAGAATTCAAACTCAGTTGAATGCCCACTTCTCCAAATTTCATTGGACATGAGGCATTGGGGGGCAAATGATGGGTCAAGCCCAAATGGCCCAATCCATGGGAAAAAGCCCAAGTTTATAAAAGACCAAGCAAGCCCCCTATGAGGTCCAAGACGGTCAAGCCCATTAGAGAGCTACGGGAGCATCTAGGAGCTATACCCTTGCTCGTTGAAGAAGAGGAGAGGTCGCCAAGAAGAGAAGAGGTCATCAGCTATTAAGTTGCCTCCAGTCCGTTATAACCGTCAAACTACTCAATTATTATGCAGACTTCTATAAATTGTAAGCTCCCCCAACACTTTGGGGACGTCTCATAAAAAATCAAGCTCATCCTCTCTCCCTCTTGTAATTCTTGCTCTCCCAACGTACCGGAGTCAATCAAATTTTCAACGAACCTAGCCATTGAAAGTGGTTGTAGGTCTCATTGGCTGAACCACTATAAATCTTGTTTTCTCTCTCCCTCTACTTATTGCATTTTATATTATTTAATTGACAAATGGTGTACAAATCGATTTTGTGCATCATCAAAAACTGAATTATTTTATTTCCAACAAGTAATCTTAAGGTATTTTTCTATGGCGAAAAAGGGTGCATATGTCACAAATTCTCAAAAAAGAAATGAATCGTCTTCTCCGTTAACGATCAACTTTCTATTTTGACACAAGCACTGGGTTCAAATATAGTGTACCGTAAATTCTCCATCAAAAAATGATGAAAGCAATTGCCAAAGTAACCCNTAGGTTCGTATCCAAGTTTGCAAACAAATGCTTGCCTTTTTTCAAAATTCTCCGAAAGCATTTGAGTGGGGACCTGAGGCAGAGGAAGCCTTCCAAAAGCTTAAGGCCTACTTGGTTACACCTCCTCTCCTCTCAAATGCTGCACCGGGCGAGACATTATATTTGTACCTCTCTGCTTCCACATCGGCGGTGAGCTCCGTCCTCATCAGAAACCACGATAAAGTACAAAAGCTTATCTATTATGTGAGCAGAGCCTATTGAGGAGCAGAAATCAGGTATTCAGGGCTAGAGAAGTTAGCACTCNAAAACCGCTACTACTCAACTGCTACATAGTAGAACTTGGAACACCTATAGAGTAGCCTAGCAAAGCATACATGCACTACCATGGACACAACACCAGAGAAACTCAACTAGTACAGTAGTCTAGCACAGAACACAAGTACCCATCGTGGGTATAATATCCATGACATTTTCTTTTGTGACCTTTTGGTTATTTTTTTTTTGATCAGGTCCCTTTTGGTTATTCAATGGGGTTCATTGTGTGGAAACTGTAAAGGTCACTGCAACATATACAGCTTGAACATTTGCCACTCATGATGCGGAAACTTGGCTCTCTTGGAACTGTTAAAGGCCTGCTTGATCTGCAAAAAAGATGAGCAAATACAGAAAAGAAGTTAATATAAGATATTAGAGTTTTGACAAACCAATGGCCGAATAACTTTGAAGTTGTGGATTTGAATCCGAGGAGAGTCACTTCGTTTAGTAATGTCAAAGGCTAAATGTGTATACGGTCTAAACCTCTATCAGCAACACTAAACTAGGTGCCAAAGTTGAACCGTGTTGCACCTTTTATCCTTTTGAGACATCTATTGACGGGGTCTAAACTAGGTGTTATTTTTAATGGCAGTGGAATAGATCGAATGAACTTTTACCTTTGTGGAAAGAAGGGCCTGTCAAATATAGGCATCAACTGAGCTCTTGGAATCATCTCCTTTCTCAGCATCCGAACCTCTTCTTCCTCGATGATCTGCTTCAATTTCAATGTTGCTCTCAAATTACAGACAAAAATTTGTTGATGATGAAGTTTTCCAAGAGATTTGCACTCACCTTCTGCACCTTCTCTATTTGCTTCTTCTGGTGCTCAATGAGATACAGTTTGGTTGCAACCTGTATGTCTACTACTTAAGAGAATACTTTCGATAACAAGTAAAAAAATGGAAGCAAACACTTATGGCGACACTCACTGAGTAGTTGAACATTGCACGTTTAACAGCTCTCTGTTGGGTGTGGAGCTTGATATCAAGTGGCTTGGTGTTTTCTTTTGTGAGAGGTTTCTGGGAAACCTGCAGATGAATTCTCGGAAGGTAAATAATTTGATTAATCCAAAAAAAAAGGTATGCAAATACAAATACAATACAATTCAAAACACGCCACGACCCTGTCTCATTTGGGACTGGGAGAGAGAATATGGAGTGCACATGTAAATTAGGACACACTCACCTTATATTTTTCAATCTGTCTCTCTTTCAGCTGATCATCTGATCTCGACTGTGGACACATCCCAAAGTATATTATTAGAGTAACGTTATAAGGCCTGGGCTATTTCATGAGGTACAACAGATGAAAACTTGTTTGTTCAGAGGTAGAACATATAGCTTTCATTGCCTCACTAGCCGTCTCATGTTTGATGCTCATGCGAGGCACAAATATAATAGATGGTCTTCTGGAATGTGGCATTTTGCTCTTTGGCTTAATTTTTTGTTGGTTAGATCATACTGAAACATTTTGAAACGCCTTAAAATATTGAAATTTTGATGTTGAATTATTGATTTGTTTTGACCTTCATAGAAGCCAAAACTATTTGGTCGTTTCGTAGGAAAAAAAGGAAATTTTGATCCATGTAAAAAAGCAATACTTTCTGCTGAGAACTGGCAGCATGTGTTCAATAAGGTGGCAGCCAAAGCATAAAGCCAGCCAGCTAGCTAGCTTATATTTAAAGGATTGGACACTACTGCTTAGTCTGTCTCAACACAACCTTCTTACGTAGAAAAGCTTCTTATATATTTTTTAAGAAAATAGGGACCATTCCAATCATGATGCCTCTTCATCTGGTACCCTAACCACAAACACACCCACCCACCCACCACTTCCAAGCATGTCATGGCAGGTTGCTGACCTTACCCACCAACACGATTCCTATTGGTTTATTTGTCATATATTTTTAATTGATCCATTTATAGCCATTAATTATGAAAATAAAGAAGTAAAACAAAATAATAAAATAAGATGACTTTACACGCGCCACAACCTTATTGATTAAAAAACGAGATACAACACTAAAAAGTAACGTGTTTGTACGATAGCTGGACCTTGGTTTCCACTTTCTTCGAGCTACCTTAAACGTCATGAAGTACAACTCTGACATATAAAAGTTGAGAAACAAATATTTGTAGTCCTACCAAAGATTGGTTCTTGATGGATTGTTGAGGTGGAATGGATCTCACAACTCCCCTGGCTATAGATGCAACTGCAGCATGTGAAGTACTCTTCACAAGCTTAAACATCCAAAAGAAAAAAAAAAGAGGACAAAGTATAAGTTAGAAGCTGTTTTCAAAAACNTATAGATGCAACTGCAGCATGTGAAGTACTCTTCACAAGCTTAAACATCCAAAAGAACAAAAAAAGAGGACAAAGTATAAGTTAGAAGCTGTTTTCAAAAAAACAGAGAGAGAGAGAGAGGACTGAGAAGTAGTAGAAATATTGACCTTTTGAGCAGATTTGGTGTTTAGGCTCTCCATGATCAGCAGATGGGTTGGAGTGTAACTAAACTGAAGTGTATATAAAAGATTTTGGGGGATGGTTGGAGATTTGTATCTGTCACATGGAGTAATGCTTTCTGTTGCTACATCACCAGCATGTTCAGCCATTTGCATGCTCTCATGCACCAAACTTTCTGATTAAACTTCCCTCTCAAACATTTTGTGGTACCTTTACCCTTTGTAGTTTCTTCAAATCTCCTCTTTGTTCTATCAAGAACAATGCAATTATTCGACTTATTATCTAATCAAGACATGGTTTACTGGACTATATTTCGAATGTAATCTGCTGAAATATTATATAACAATATTCAAACATGCTTCAGAGTTAGTTTAGTACGCTAATTCCAAATGGGTTCATGTATTTAAGTCAAAAACCTCTGGAATCCGGATAGATATTCCAAAAATCCAGCTAAAATCAAGATTTGTATTGATTTGTCTAACTATTTTGGGGGGTTCCTTAAGCATGTTTAATTAGCACTTTGCTTCGTTTCATTGCCAAACCAATCATAATCAACTTAGTTAAGTTGTTTGAGTGGAGAATTTTAAGCAAAATCACAACAACTTTTACGTTAGTGTCACTGTTGGTGTTCATGGATCTATATCCCATCAATTATACTTTTTCTCAATTTTCTTTGAATAGTAGTAGATCACAAGTGATATATCAGTAGGAGATCCACTCATATATAATGGGTTCCATTTGAATTCAAAACAAGGTAGCAAAGGATATATCATTGCGAAAAACCGAGAAAAAAAAAAATTATTGGAATGGAACTAATTAACAGTATCCATCCATAGCTGAAGAGTCCAAAAGCTCACTGTTAGGCATTTCTTGTTAATTTAGTTATTAAACTAAAGCTGGTAGGTAATCTTTCGTTTTTGGGAAGTTATTGCCTTCTTGTCAACAAGAATAGGCGCATGAACAATTGTCATACAGTTAGATCTTGATTAGAAAATTAACCAAGTGATAAATTGCTTATACATGAAGGAAGTTAGAATAATGGAAAAACCCTTACNTGTCATACAGTTAGATCTTGATTAGAAAATTAACCAAGTGATAAATTGCTTATACATGAAGGAAGTTAGAATTATGGAAAAACCCTTATAGAAAGATGATAGATTATTATATATTCTCGTTGTAACTTTGTTTTTTTTTTTTTTAACCAAGTGATATTGAGACGTAAGCGTCTACTGTATTTTGGTGATCGAAGATTTCTAGTATTTGAAGCAGACTGGTCTGTTTGGTTTCTTATCATTTGATTGTAAGTTTGTAACCTTAGGTANTAACCAAGTGATATTGAGACGTAAGCGTCTACTGTATTTTGGTGATCGAAGATTTCTTGTATTTGAAGCAGACTGGTCTGTTTGGTTTCTTATCATTTGATTGTAAGTTTGTAACCTTAGGTTTGTTTTGTAGTTGTTTTATGAAGTAAATTATATGAACAAAACTTGAGATTAAAAATACAATAATACTACTTGAACCTAATTTATTCACTTAGTCACATTCTGTTATTAGATTGACAGTGAAANATTGTAAGTTTGTAACCTTAGGTTTGTTTTGTAGTTGTTTTATGAAGTAAATTATATGAACAAAACTTGAGATTAAAAATACAATAATACTACTTGAACCTAATTTATTCACTTAGTCATATTCTGTTATTAGATTGACAGTGGACTCGACTATTAGTAAGAATACACTGTCAATTCAATGATTATGATACTTTAGGTCAATAAAAAAAATTAATGAATTAAATTTAAATAACATTTTTCATATAAATAACAGTAATGTATCCATGAAATGAAAAAGTTTATACAACTTGTTATGGCCCGCACTTCGGTAAAAGAATAGGCTAAATATTGTTCAAATCAGATCAAAGTAGGTTAACTAAAAACGAATAATAATAATTATTGCAACGATAGTGTGATGCCCATAGAATAGCCTTGATTGCCTTTGTATNTATAAATAACAGTAATGTATCCATGAAATGAAAAAGTTTATACAACTTGTTATGGCCAGCACTTCTTTTTTCCCCCTCCTCGGGTAAAAGAATAGGCTAAATATTGTTCAAATCAGATCAAAGTAGGTTAACTAAAAACGAATAATAATAATTATTGTAACGATAGTGTGATGCCCATAGAATAGCCTTGATTGCCTTTGTATGATATCCAACTACATCAGTGCGAATAGTATTGGCATCTCTCTCTCACTCTCTCTCTCTTCCTTTTGTGATGATTGTTTTTGACAATAACAAGGGATACTCTAATGCTTACGTTATATTGCACCTCTTTCTAATTTCTGGTTTTAACGGAATAAATTTGTTTGTTTGTCAAGTCAATCAGTAATTAAACAGCTGATACAGAGCTAGCTTCGTTTCATATGAGGAATGCACGTGAATGATGACATAGATTCTCTAACCCATGCAGCATATCATGAGAATGAATTGTATTGGCATCATTTTAGAGTCCCAAATGTGCAAAGAAGAACCAATAATAACGTACAAGAATTATGCCACATAAATAAGCCCAATAGGGCCAAGAATCATCTTATTACGGGTTCTTTGAATTCATGGTTGTTAAACAAAATGAAAAATGCACACAATCGTCAGCAAACCACGTGCATCAAATCAAGCAAAACGTCTCTTATGACAAGTTATATTTTACTGTAACATAATGGGGACGACCGTGCTTGAAATACAAGTCTACTGGAAAAAAGAGAAGGCATTGGGCATTTATGTAATTTTTCAGCAAACATAAAAATTTGTATGCTTCATACAAATTGCATCATTCAGAAACTACAGCAACCAATCACTTTACCAAAAATGAGAATAACCCTTCTTTATGAATTGAGCAGCCATCTGGATTGATAAGTGGATATTTTAGGATGTTTACACATGATCATCATCTCTATTACTCTTCAGAAATCTTGAAAAATGTATAGGATAAGATCAAGTTGCTGATACCATCCATTTTAGGATCTGTTTCGAACTCGGGGTCTATATAAAAGAACACCTACAAATGCATGGTAAAGTGTAACAAGTTGCAATAGTGTAACCCCGGAAATTCTCAATGAAAAGAAAAGCAGCTAGAAACTGCTTACAGGCATGTCAATTTGCTCCCCAGGTAGAAGTCGCTGCTCCTCAAAGCAAAAGCATTGTATTTTGTTGAAGTAAACTGCAGCCTGGAAAAGGTCACAGCCTCTTAATTTCTTTCAGAAAATCTAGAACAAAGAAATGAGCCAATCTGAGATTCCTCTTTTTTCCAAAATACAACTCAAACTCAGATTCTCCGACAAGGCCATCTAAACTCAACCATCAAACGTTAAATGGCAAGAAAAAAATACGTACTGATTGAAGTGATCAAACAAGTTATTACGTGCATGGCAATTATTGGAACAATACTGAGAATGAAAAGGAGAAATACAAGATAAAGACAGTACTTTTTATGCCAAAAGCATCTTCGACAAGAAAATGCCTAATTTGGGCCTCCATGTGGCAAAACTGCAAGTCAAACTGTGTAATGCAAAATGTATCAACCGACATCCCATACCATTGTATCAGCATTTTTTTTCCCTCAAAAAGACTCAGCAATTTCTATCTATAAAAAGAAAGGCATGTTAATTTTACCAGCACTGAGCTGTCCACAATGTTGAAAAATGGGTCAACGATTGTGCATTTGATACTTGGAGATTTCCAATAACAAGACATAATTGTCATATTTATCTAGGGAAACAGAATCCACTATGTTTCTAGGGACCCCATAAGTTCCAACTCTAGAAGAGATGATTCAGAGAGGGAAAAAGAGCACAGTTTTGGGCCCTTCAAATCTTCCAGTACAAATTTCGGAATCAAATTGTCTGTCTTTATTTATTGAGTAATTTACTTTTCACTCTAATAAAGTCCCTTTCTTATCACAAAAAGTTAAAACAGGAAATGCAAAAGAGAAACCTGCTGCTAAATCTTCGGTGTACTATCCTGATATGCATGCACCAGATTTTTTGGGAAGGCACTATCATAACGTAAAATCAAACATGTGCCCAAACGTCACACACACAGAGAACTGACTGCCAAACCCTGATTAAACATACTCTACCTCTGACACACCCTTAAATCTCCTACTAATTTGTAGTATACTTCGGGTGTTTGGTTCTTAACAACTCATGCAGAATATGCTGGAATTAAAGTTGCTACTATAATGATAATAAAACCATGCCTAATGGCCAATAATGACAGTTTACCTAATCAAATCTGGGTGATCCAGAGAAGGTCCATGCTCTAGTCACATCTATCAAGGTGAATTAGTTACTTCAGAGGAAGAGACCAGTTCTTTTCAGTATGTTTGTGAGTAAGTTTGCGTATAATATACCAACACACTTCACCACATACTACATGAAAATCTCAGGACTTCAATGTTCTTATCGAAGTACATCTAATACTGGGAATTGAATTGTGTATCATGGTACATACACCTATAGTGACAATCAACTAAGAATTGTCTTTTATTAATCGGACAAACACTCTTTCACATAAGAACAGATTTGTGTTGCAGAAGCATTGACTTGGGACAAGATTCAGCATGAGTTTCAACTCTAAGAGACAATTGAAACAGGAATCCTGTGACATACGAGAAATAGTCGATGCATGTTTAAAATTTTAAAAATTATTTTCCAAATAATGGATGGCGAAACAAGTTCTGTACACACATTACAAATATCCAAGCATTATCAAACTGTTTTAAGATTATATTCTTAGTCAAAACTCAAAGCATATCAGACACCTATCTCTTTTCCTCTGATTTGATGCTACAGTTGTCTTCCCATGTTGATTAGTGAATATCCTATGGTATAAAATCAAATATAATAGTAAATTCATCCTTATAATATTGGGGATACCATACATCCATTTTGCTTCATTTGGATATCATAAAATCATTATAGACCTAAGTAAATCATAATTAGTCACTGCCACTACAAATTAAAAAAGATCATTAATGTAAAGAGGAAAATCACTAAAAATGCACTTGCGTTAGATTATAGAGCTCCCAAAAGCACAATGTTAATTCTATATTGTCACTAAAAGTGATTTTCTGGTATGCTACATCATTCTTAACTCAAATGTCATATATGGGAAGAATCAAACTAAGATAAGGCTTTTTAAGAAACTAGCAATGCACGTAAATAATTTTTATACACAAAAATTAATAAAACATATTAGGTATGTGTATCTGAATTAAATATCATTTAAAATTTACCAAAGTTAATTTTTCATTGCTTATATTTTATTATAAAATTATGAAAACTTAGTATGTTCTCAAAATTCTTTGTTCTAACTATAAAAAAAAAAGATTAAAAAAATAGTTAAAGTTCTATTTTTTTTAAAAAATTGTAATTGAGATTGATTTTTTTAGTGATATTTGAGAAATTAAATTTCTTGAAATTCATTTGATTAAGATTCCACTAATAATTCTTTGAATAAAATAAAAATAATTGTCAATATACTAATCACATTGAAACCTTATTGTAATTAGGAATTAGTTAGGCCAATTCAGATAAGATTTAATATACTACTTTATAATATATATTATCAAGCAAATTAATATCTAAAGAATTCAAGTTTTACTTAAAAATATACTACAATATTTATTTTTACATAAAATATTAGTACAACTTAAAAACTTTATTGTGACTGAAGAATTATACTGATGTAACATAAATTGATTTTGAAAAATTATATATACGATTATTTTTTATCTTACAAATGAAATGATTAAACTTTTTGAAGAAAAAGAAATACACAGGTAGGGATAATGTTATCTTTACATATGAGATGAGTAATATTAAATTGATGGAGTTTTGAAGGTTTTTTTAACAGTTTATTGAAAATATAATGATGTATTTTTTAAGGGTAATATAGTCAATCACAATTTTGTATAGAAACTAATATTTATATATAGAGAATAAATAATTAAAAGAGATATTATAGATAATTTGGAGATTTAAATACATAAAGATATGATGATAATTTAGATATTTAATTGTGAAAGGATGGAGTGATATTTGCAATACTATATAAGGGTAAAATAGATATTCAAAAAAACTTTATCTTAAGATACTTTTATTAATAATATAGATAGATTTTACACCCTACACATGATTACTCATAAAACAGTGGGACTTACGGTATAAACTCACTCATGCTCTCCCACAGGCCACAACTAATAAAATTCATTCATGTTCCCCAAGTCTAAAGTTTGAATCAACTTATGAAATCATTTGCTAAACCAGCTTTTGTCAGCTTGTCGACCCAAAAAAAAAAGAAAAGATTTTGTCACCCATGTGCATCCCTTTTTTGCTAGTCCCATCACAAAAAAAAAATTCTAGAAAAATTTGAAAAAGAAAGGAGAGCATTGTATCACTGCATACTCCCTTAACTCTTTATTTTTTTATTTTTGGGAGGACGGACTGGGAGAGGGAAAGGGAAAGGGAAAGGAAGACGGAAGGGGAAGGGGAAGGGGAAGGGGAAGGGGAAGGGGAAGGGGAAGGGGGAGGGGGAGGGACAGGGAGAGTGAGATTTGAACTCTTGACCTTAACAAGATAAAACCTTCACAAGATAAGCAGTACCATTGGACCAAAGGCCCTTTGGCATAGTTATTAAATCGTGTATCGGAAGGTGTATCGTTTTTTAAAAATAATGTATCGTATCGTGTATCATAAGATACGCTGTAATTTTAAATAAATAATAAAAAAATATATATACTTTTGAAAAAAAATTATACACTCATAAAAATATAGCATATCATTAATACTCCACCACCTATTCAAGTCATTAACATAGTTCACTAATATTATAATGCAAAATTTACAACCATAGTTCACTAATTCAAACTTTAAACACCAAAGAGACTTTTAATCCAAATTTCTAACATTCATTTTGAACTCAATCCATAAAATTAATCAAGATTAATGTCTTATTTAGACAAAACAACGTCGTTTTATCAATGGCGGGGATAAAATTAGTGTCTTATTTAACAAAATAAAGTCGTTTCAGGAAAAAAAAAACAGACTTTATGTGTATCAATCGTATCGTAAAAACGTATCGTATATCGGACGATACGATGCAAAAAAAGATAAATAACTATGATCCGTATCGTTTTATCTCTGTATCGTAACATATCGTACGATACATATCGCGTATCGTACGATACTAACAACTATGCCCCTTGGTACCTTATAGCTCTTTAAAGTCTGCAATCAAGCTTTATATGACGGATTATGAATGTAAATTTGGATTTCAATTTCACATTTATCTTTGAGAATTTCGAGTTGAAAACCACAGCACTGCTGCCACTTTTATTTTTCATTATTTTGGAATACGTTTGCAATCCTTTTTTCTAGCTTCCATTCATTATACTATGAATTATAAGACCCTAAAATGAGCTAACAAACTCAATACATGACATGTAGTCACCTAATCAAGAACTAAAATTCTAGGATGGATCACGTATACTTTTATTTCTTCTTACAAAAAAGGATTTGAGGGGGATACAGCCCGTGTCTTGTTGTAAGTTGCGCCTCACTAAGAGCCAAATAAGGAGGCTCAACGGAATCAAGGCGGAAGTTTGTTGCTCCCCATAGTCATGCTTTTGACCTTGGTCTCCCCGAACCATGTGGATGTGGGGCGTTAGATCACCACTCTCGATGCTATCGTGTAGTACCAAGCATGGTTGTTTCCTAGATTGAAGTGGTCTTTCATTGCCCTACCAAACAAAAGAAGTCGCTATCGAACAACTTGCCCTACTGAAGTACCAAGGTGTGCTCCGCCCAGTGAATAAGAAATGGGTTTGTGCTTGAATTGAAGTGGTGAGGTCACAAAGAGGGAAGTATGGCTGCTATTGAATAAAGGTAGGATCTTCGCTTTCCTTTAGAATGAAAGTCGCTATGAAGCCGTACTACTTACTTTGTTTGATTCAAAAGGTGAACAACCCCCCAACTAATCCTATGGTTGTGGGGTACTTGTGAAAAGATGCCTTGGATAAACCTTTCAATATTTTGGACAAGAAACTTATCACATGATGCCTCCAAATATAAACTTCAAACTAGCATCAACTAAAAACAGAACCAAATAATACATTCTAAGTCTCCGCATTCCTCAAACTAACCTTTATTAAGCAATAACTCCAATAATGATGATTTATTATAGAGATCAGAAAGCTAACTTGAACACCACATAAATGAAAGAAGAACAAATGAAAATTTTGAATATTTGTACCTTCATGGGTGTAACATTATATGTAGATACACCAGTTATGGGTGTTGAACTTCGATTTTCAGCAGTGTAAAATGCAAGGGCACTCTCTCCTGGCTTAACCCTTACCTACAGTACATTTCAAGAACATCACATTACAATATCTAGACATAATACATATAGAACTTCTAATCTAATAGCTGAAGAATTGAGGTAAAGTAGTACACTGACACTGATAACACCGAGTAGAAACTGATGTAAAGAGGATTGTCTAACAATGCAATTTATTTTCTCTGTATGGAGCATTAGTTTTGTGGGCCCATAATGTAATAGAAGTTTACCACCTGTCAATAAAAGGCCAATTTTTTGCTTACCTCTTCTTTGTCTATATTGTTGGTTTGGAATTTTTTTTTTTTTTTTGCTTTTAATTTTTTGTGGCTTTATTTCCTCTTAATTTTCCCATGGTGATAGAATGATTGCCATTGTTTATACATACCTCCATGTGCACCTACATGAATAAACATTCATACACACATAACAGCATGATTTAATATTTTCTATTAATCATTCTTTAATATTGACAATATCACACACTGGCTAGAATGCAAAGAGAACTTATTCCAATTTCGTTTGTTTGTATCAGTTTCAAAGAAAGCACCTCTCGTTGTGTAGGAACAAACTTCCAAGGCATTCCATCCGCCACATCAGCATTGAACTGCACCACAATCTCCCTATAAGAACAATACCAACAATTCATTAAAATTAGACGTACAAAAAATTAAGGGGGCTCCATCTTAGTCAAGATTTTAGTAATATACTGTCTAAATAGGATAGCAAGACTAGAATCCACATGATAAATATATAGTATGATTATATAATCCTGAAATGAATCGTGTCACTACTTTTAAGTGAGGTTTTTAGAATGAAATGAGATAATACAAGATAAATTGTGGGGGTTGATTTTCAGAAGACAAACTTGAACATTTTCCAAGTGACTAAATGGCAAACGGTTTAAACCTGGTCGTAATGGTTCCATCTTGAGCATGCCGCACAATTTTTTCTTCCACACTCTGGATAAACAGTAAGACCTGTGTCATTACCCAATAGTCCAAAAATATAAACATCTTCCTTATCATAAACCGAGATCTCACCTCCTTGCGCTGAACGGTGCCCCCATAACCAGTAGCTTGGCAGAATCTCCTATACAGAGGAACTGCAGCATAACTACATCCGACCATTGCAAATACCAACCCTGTCAAGTATACAAGCATCTTCGTCGACTTTTGTTCTCTGGAAATAGGAGTAGGAACATATTGCCGATGAAAACTAAGAAAAGGAGAAGACCTCTCCAAACTCCGAGTTCTCAAAGGCAAAAACCCATTACACCTATCCAACGACACCTTACTAAACTCAGATCTTGACATCAAACGCCCAAGTCCAAAACCATATTCTCGTGCATAGCTAGTATTATTAGCCCCCAGAAAATAATATTTCTGCCAAAATGCTTTGTATAAATGCCTGAATCAAAAAGAAAGGAATGGAATATCCATTTGGATCAAACGATTGGTCGTTACATTTGCATGCATACATACAAAATCATACATATAGATAGCTATATTTGTTGATGCGAAATTCAGCAAGGAATGTGCTTCTTTTTCTTTTTCCTTTTCCTTTTATTTTTTGCAAGTTTGGAACATGCTTCATATAGATGCAGATACAGCATTTTGCAATTAGACCAATACCTGGATTGATAAGGGGAATGCTGTACAGTGTTGTTAATGTAAGGAAATAGATGGGTTCTTCTGGAAAGTCTGGATAGTGACATTATTGAAAGGACTTTGTACCGCCAGGTATCAAAACATCCTCAATAGCATCTGAAACAAGATGAAAGTTAACTCAATTTAAATAGAGGAAAAATATAGCCTTTTCGAATTACCATGCTTCAATAAAATAGCTTTCAGATTGAAATAATAAAATCCTGGTTATGAAAAGATTCAAATTCTGCCAATCCTTTGTTTTACCTCAATTATCTTGGAAACCAAATAGGGCACTCGATAGCTAGGTTACAGAACTGAAGATAGGAATTTTGGAATGGAATACCTCTTTTTCGTGTTTTTCATAGAAGAAACTGGAATGGAATCATAGTTATTAAACCTAGCCCAGACCTCAACACAACAAAAAGACTATTCATAGGGTCACTTGTTCAACCGTTGCATCAACCAGTTGGATCATTCATACAATAAAAATTAAGAACAATTATTAATAACAAAATTATGCCAAAAATTTGTAAAACTTGAAAAATATCATGATTTATGTTAAGTGCATAAAAAAAAAACACAGAAAATATCAAACACGTCCACAATGCGTCCAACTTTCAAGACAATTAGGAAAGGTAAGTAGATAAAAGAAAGAAATGCAATGATCAAACCGTAGTGATTAAAGTAAATGGAAAAAAAAATGAATACTCAAACCATATTCATATAGTGCAGGGAAAAAAAACAAAATATATGACAGCGTGGCATAAGGCGTCAAAAACACAATGAGAAGAAATTGGTAAGTCCTGAAGTCACAAGTCTAATAACATTGTCCTTAATCAAGTCAAAAGTTCACAATCGCAAGTGGGTTTTAGCCTTTTCTCTCTGCAAAGCCAGCAGTCCAGAGCAAGTGTAACACATACAATTAAATATATTCCTTTTTTTTTGGTAATTAAAAGAACCGTCGTGATACTAAAATGAAGCATTTTATAAAGAAGGGAAAATTAAGAAAAAACTCTTGAAAATTAACACAAAAGCATTAAGAAACACAATATGCTAATCAATTATGAATAGGCAGTTAGCCTTCATGCCCCATCCATCTTCAGTAGAATCAATCCATCAGTAAGGAACAATATCGTCAATATGAATTCAAAACCCAGAATATTATCCTTTTGGAAGAAATGAACTTTAAACTTCAATTTGAGCACATTCGGCTGCGCCCCTGCACTGTGTAACACGCCAAAATGAAGAATGAAAAGTTATTTTGAACAAACATTTTGCGTTTCGTTTGAACGATTTCTAAAACAACATAAAGTAGAGTTATATAACAAAATTTATAATTCACAACTTCTAGAAGAACATATTCAAAATTATGGTTCTTGAGTGGGCTGTAACCATTAACAACAATGCAAACAATGCAATCCACAAATTTCGACAAAACAATCGACAAAAATATTTAGGGGTCATTTGGTAACGTTTTTGTTTTCGCGTCTTCAAAAAAATAAAAAACAAAAATAATTTTTCTCTCTATTTTGTGGTAATCACTGAAACATAAAATACGTTTGGGAGTCATTTGTGTTTACCAAATTATAAGAAGAAAAATTAAAAACATGTTTGATAACCACTTTAAACTATATCCTTAAGTCCCCTGTTTTTCCTTTCAAAAATGCTATTGAGACTTAACAAATTAAATCAACTTCTATTAGTTGTTCATAGCCAGAAATTTCTGCAAAGTTGATACAAGGTCTGGCTTCAACTGTTTATGTTTATTATTACGCTTTAAAAGCAGCCATTTTTTCACTTCATAGAGACCATTAATAAGTGTTGCAGTGGTTCATCTACAATTTACTATTCAACATAGCCCATCAAGGCTTTAGTCGATATCTCAATGTTAGTGAACTTGGGGGGTTAGGAAAAAAAACAAGAATTTATAATTACATTCAAGTAAGCAGCAATTTTTTCCTCCTTCAAGCTCAGACTTGTTGCCACTGCCTAGAATCGAAAACCATCAGCAGCATAAGGTCCCAAACTTTTCACCATTGTCATCCAAATGGTTACAATTTGTTCACTTACACAATTAATCAAACATATTATGCTCAATTTTTCATATGGGAACAATTTGTTCACTTACACAATTAAACAAACATATTATGCTCAACATTCTAAACAACATACATACACACACAACACACAGGCATACACACAACATACACACACACAACACACCCATCGGATAAACACACACAGAAACCCTATACACACACATCAAAACAGAGGCAAACACACACTCAATCAAAGACGATACAACAATACACAACAAGCTTGAAATATATGCACCAAAGCTTGAAATAAATCAAAGATCTATGTATATTTATGCATATATATACAGATATGTGTATATATATGCATATATATTCCCAGATCTATGTATATATAGAATTGTATATACATACCTTCACAGCAACAGAGAGATCGACAGAGGGTTCCGTTGAAGCAGGCAGCAACGAAGATCGTTCAAGCAGCAAGATGTGAGGGAGCATCGATTGGCCTTGCAGAACACAGAGACACTTCACATGCCTCGGTTCGTCTTCGTAGACGGAGAGACAGGAGCGAGAGCGAGAGAGAGAGATGAAGTGAGGATGCCTTCTGAAGGCAGCTTTTATTTCCACAAATAATGAGCGGCTTTTGTTAGTAACAAGGATCGAATCGCAGACTTCATTAAAACCTTTCAGCCCAGCTAGCGCATGTTTCGTGTGTTCCTAGACACATTTTTTTTTGGGTTAATTATAAGTTGTACCCTAAAAAATAGTTCGAATCTCAATTTAGACGCTTAAAGATAAAAAATTTCAAATTATACCCTCAAAGATAAAAATTTATATCAATGTGCACCCCAAAGATAAAAAATCTTAATTTTCACCCTCAAATATAGAAAATTTTATCACCTAAAACTAAATTGATAAATTATACCTAGATCCCTTCATGCTTGTCACTTAATCATTTGGACTTATTTACATTTAGAATATTACTCCTATATCTCATGGCATTTGTGCAAGTGCAACACGTAACTCATTTTCGTTGATATATGTTAATATAATTGTTAAAAAATATAATTTTATCCTAATAAAAAGTTATAATTTTATATTATCTTTTTTTTTGTGGATCCGATATATTCTAAAGTTCAAAATCAAGCTTATCATTTGAATGTCTAATAGAATGTAGATATTTATATAATATTTTCTATATCAATGCAATATATTACTCAATGTGCAATCCTTTATTCTATTAGACATTCAAACGATAAAACCTGATTTTGAATTTTAAAGTATATTAGACATATAAAATAAAAGGTAATATAAAATTATAATTTTTTTATTAGAATAAAATCATATTTTTTAAATGTTATATTAATATATATCAACAAAAATAGGTTACGTGTTACACGTGCACAAATATCATGAGATGTAGGAGTAATATTCTAAATGTGAAGGAGTCCAAATGATTAAATGACAAGCATGAAAGGATCTAGGTATAATTTATCAATTTAGTTTTAGGTATACATTGATACAAATTTTTATCTATGATGGTGTAAATTAAAATTTTTTATATTTGAGGGTGTACATTGATACAAATTTTTATCTTTGATGGTGTAAATTAAGATTTTTTATCTTTGGAGGTGCACATTAATACAAATTTTTATCTTTGAGGGTGTAAATTAAAATTTTTGATTTTTGAAGGTACAAATTAAATTCGAACGATTTTGGAGAGTACAATTTACAATTAACCCATTTTTTTTTTCCCATTTTCCTATCTTATTTTACAACTTAGATAAACACATAAAATAAAAGTAAATACCAAACATATTTTTGTTTGTTTTTTATTTAAATCTAAAAACAAAAACACAAACCATAAAACAAAAAAACCAAACAAACGGCCCCTAGAATCAATCACCAGAATCGTGCCTTGAAGAACAAATCAATGTTAAATGATTAAAAAACCAAATACATACATTTGAACACAGACACTACTTCCGCCAGAGTTCAGGGGCCTCACATGGCGGGTGATAGAACACCCAAAGAGACATTTATATTTCGTTTGGTTGGAAGAGTAGAAAGTAGGAGAATATATTTTTTATATTTTAAGGAAGAAAAGTAAGAATGATATATTTTTTTTTTCTTTGTGTTTAGTAAGATGGATAAAAAATAAAAATAATTAATTTTTTTTTTATGTTGACTAGATTATGGGTAACAATCTAATCGTGTCGTGTCAGATTCGTGTTTAGTCATTGCAGGTTCGTGTTAAACATTTATCAAACATAACTCAATTCATTTAACTAATCGTGTTATGTTGAGTTGACATGTTTATTTTTGCATCATATTCGTATTTATATTCCTATTCACTCACACAAATTTTGAATAAAAAATTTAATGCTAATATTCTATTTTCACTTAATTGAATTCATGCTCATACTTTTTCTACAAATTAAAAATTAACTTAAATAAATATAATAATAATGAATAAAAATATCTTTTTTATATAAAAATATGTCATTGTTTAATAAATAGTTACAAATAATTAACATTTTATATCTATAATACTAGTTAAAATGTTAATTTTGTATTACCATACAAACGAGAAAATGGAGAAAATATTTATTCTTAAATAATCAAGTTGATAGTGTCAATTTTGGGTCTGACAGATTGAACTGAATATAAAGTGTTTATATTTCGTGTTCATATATTAGATCATTTTTGAGTTTGTGTTGAGTTATAATCAAGTTAGTGTCATAAAATCTATGTCGAGTTTGAATCGTCATCGTGTTAAGTCAAAAATTATGAAATTAATGTATACATAATATATGTATATGTATATCTATATCTATCTATACTAAGCAAAAAAAAATTGTTGGACTAAAATAGCCATGACAATAGGACTAATGCCGATTGTATCATATCTTCTTAAAATTGCACCGTTACTCTTACTTCAGGCAGGTAAAGAGGCTGGCCTCTTCGAGTTCCGTCTACTCTTAGTCCCAAGATTTTTTATGCTATTTATCATTTGTTTCCTATCGCCCTAACCCTTTCGATACCGGTTTTGGTTTGTCAAAAATGGTGGTGACACCACCGAGCTTTCTCGCCATGCCTCGATGCGACGGCGCAGAGTGACAATGGGTCTACTTTCAGAATGTGTTTTCTGCAAGGATTGCCTTCTTCTTCAATAACTCGCTCCATTTTTCGCCATGCGATAGGATAGCAGATTTCTTCGAAATCAGCCAATTCTCAGTTCGATGTGTTCCGACCAAAGGTTGATGAAATGTCTCTTCTCATCAACAACACCGCAAACTTCTATATAGTAACAAACCAGTCTCTCTCTCTCTCTCTCCAGTTTTCAATCATTACATGTATGTAGGTATATATAGAAGTTTATCTCTGTGGGTAAGTGTTTGTGCACGATAATTTGGGGGTTTTGTGTCTTTGTTTATTTGCACATCTGTAAGGGTAGAAATCGCTACGGATTTCATCCCTCCACTTGAAGGATTCCGGCTGACCTAGCGGCACCGAGTCCCATTAGTCTTTACCTCTCTTCGCCAATAGGACCCTTTCCTAAGGCACATCGGAAGAGAGTCGTCTTCCCCCTGCCATATAAGTGAACACTTCCTATGGAGGAGGTACCCACTAGCGACCTAATCAGGTGCCTAGTGGGTACCTCCTCCATAGGAAGTGTTCACTTAAATGGCAGGGCGGAAGACGACTCTCGGGAAGACGACTCTCTTCCGATGTGGGATTGCCTTAAGAAAGGGTCCTATTGGCGAAGAGAAGTAAAGGCTACTAGGGTTCGGTGCCGCCAGGTCAGCCGGAATCCTTCAAGTGGAGGGATGAAATCTGTAGCGATTTCTACCCCTTACAAAAAGGCGCCTTTCTGTAAGGGGTAGAACCCTCTACTAAAGATTTCGGTNGTGTTTGTGCACGATAATTTGGGGGTTTTGTGTCTTTGTTTATTTGCACATCTGTAAGGGTAGAAATCGCTACGGATTTCATCCCTCCACTTGAAGGATTCCGGCTGACCTAGCGGCACCGAGTCCCATTAGTCTTTACCTCTCTTCGCCAATAGGACCCTTTCCTAAGGCAATCCCACATCGGAAGAGAGTCGTCTCCCCCCCTGCCATATAAGTGAACACTTTCTATGGAGAAGGTACACACTATAGAAAGTGTTCACTTATATGGCAGGGGGAGAGACGACTCTCTTCCGAGANTTCTTCGAAATCAGCCAATTCTCAGTTCGATGTGTTCCGACCAAAGGTTGATGAAATGTCTCTTCTCACCAACAACACCGCAAACTTCTATATAGTAACAAACCAGTCTCTCTCTCTCTCTCTCTCTCCAGTTTTCAATCATTACATGTATGTAGGTATATATGGAAGTTTATCTCTGTGGGTAAGTGTTTGTGCACGATAATTTGGGGGTTTTGTGTCTTTGTTTATTTGCACATCTACTGAAAAATGGGCTTAGATCTAAATTGGGTTTGCTTTGAGATTTATATTCTTTTGCTTAAGTTTAATAGTATTACCAAATTTTCAACTGTTAAATTCACTTCTTTTTCATGTGTCTGTGTGAATGAGCATCTAAGAAATGATAAGAGTTTTAACTCTTTTTAGATACCATTCCTGCAATTACACTTTTTCTATCAATGACTTGAATTGTGGGAATTAGGATTTGCAAACCTTGCCAATAGAATTGGTTGATGAGTATCAGAGAGGGGCATGGACAACATATTGAGTATACGTATCTTTAGTTAACATAATATCTTTGATCATCAACCATAAAATTATCTTCTGTCTTGGTNACATTGATACAAATTTTTATCTATGATGGTGTAAATTAAAATTTTTTATATTTGAGGGTGTACATTGATACAAATTTTTATCTTTGATGGTGTAAATTAAGATTTTTTATCTTTGGGGGTGCACATTAATACAAATTTTTATCTTTGAGGGTGTAGATTAAAATTTTTGATTTTTGAATGTACAAATTAAATTCGAACGATTTTGGAGAGTACAATTTACAATTAACCTTTTTTTTTTTCCCATTTTCCTATCTTATTTTACGACTTAGATAAAACATAAAATAAAAGTAAATACCAAACATATTTTTGTTTGTTTTTTATTTAAATCTAAAAACAAAAACACAAACCATAAAACAAAAAAAACAAACAAACGGCCCCTAGAATCAATCACCAGAATCGTGCCTTGAAGAACAAATCAATGTTAAATGATTAAAAAACCAAATACATACATTTGAACACAGACACTACTTCCGCCAGAGTTCAGGGGCCTCACATGGCGGGTGATAGAACACCCAAAGAGACATTTATATTTCGTTTGGTTGGATGAGTAGAAAGTAGGAGAATATATTTTTTATATTTTAAGGAAGAAAAGTAAGAATGATAATTTTTTTTTTTTGTGTGTGTTTAGTAAGATGGATGAAAAATAAAAATAATTAATTTTTTTTTATGTTGACTAGATTATGGGTAACAATCTAATCGTGTCGTGTCAGAATCGTGTTTAGTCATTGCGGGTTCGTGTCAAACATTTATCAAACATAACTCAATTCATTTAACTAATCGTGTTATGTTGAGTTGACATGTTTATTTTTGTATCATATTCGTATTTATATTCCTATTCACTCACACAAATTTTGAATAAAAAATTTAATGCTAATATTCTATTTTCACTTAATTGAATTCATGCTCATACTTTTTCTACAAATTAAAAATTAACTTAAATAAATATAATAATAATAATGAATAAAAATATCTTTTTTATATAAAAATATGTCATTGTTTAATAAATAGTTACAAATAATTAACATTTTATATCTATAATACTAGTTAAAATGTTAATTTTGTATTACCATACAAACGAGAAAATAGAGAAAATGTTTATTCTTAAATAATCAGGTTGATAGTGTCAATTTTGGGTCTGACAGGTTGAACTGAATATAAAGTGTTTATATTTCGTGTTCATATATTAGATCAGTTTTGAGTTTGTGTTGAGTTATAATCAAGTTAGTGTCATAAAATCTATGTCGAGTTTGAATCGTCATCGTGTTAAGTCAAAAATTATGAAATTAATGTATACATAATATATGTATATGTATATCTATATCTATCTATACTAAGCAAAAAAAAATTGTTGGACTAAAATAGCCATGACNCTAACTAAGATCGAATTTTTTTTAATTTTTAAAATTTTAAAATATATATAAATACATATTTTATCATTACATTTTTATATGAAATTAATGTATATATAATATATGTACATATAAAAAGATCTCTATAATAAATTAGATAGGTGTTTGAACTTATGAAAGGTATATTTGGCCCCCCCTGCCCAAAAAAAAAATTCACATCCAACATACACCCCCCTCCCAATTCAAAAACTCAACACACACAACTCCACTATACACACACTTCAACACACATTCTAATATATACACAGTGTAATAATTCAGTGTACAATAACTTTAATCACAGGATATCGTTAGTATATAGATAAATAAGATACATCTCAACACAAATAATTAATTTTTCATCCACTTTCCTTCCAATTTTAGAGGGATTAATTTTAGTGAATTAGAAGGAAAGTTAATTCATTAATTTTTTCATCCTTCCTATTTTTTTTCTTTACCAATCATGATGTTTTATTTGTTATTTCAACTTTCCATCATATNTGGAAGGAAAGTTAATTCATTAATTTTTTCATCTTTCCTATTTTTTTTTCTTTACCAATCATGATGTTTTATTTGTTATTTCAACTTTCCATCATATACCAATCAGAGCATAAATCTTTAAAAGAAAACGTAATCTTCACCGGACTGCACCAAAGATGAATCAGCTAAAATGAAATGTCTTTCTTTTGAAGGCTCAAGAATGGCCAAAAATTTTTCCGTAGAGAAGTTTGATGATGTGGCTATAAGAATTTCTCAAGGCAAAAGGACATTCAACTGCATGCTGAAAAGATCGGCAACAGCTGCACGAGCATCCATCTGAACAAGTCCAACAATAATCAGAAAACTGGGAAGGAGCTCATAATCTGTGTAACTAGCAAGTTAAGCTTGTGGGCATATATCTTTTTTCAATTATTTCTCAATGTTGACACGACGTCCTTTCGCCTTTATTTATCTGTTTTGAGTATACAGTTTTTTAATTCACCTTAATACACCAGGCCATCTCAACAAAATCTGCCACAATGTGAGTGCCGTGTGTGACAAAAAGTAATGGATTAAATATATTTTTTGGTCTCTAAAATATGTCCTCTCTGTCAATTTGGTCCCTGGAATTTTAATTTTTCCAATATGATCCTTGATGCTTTCAATGTATTTAATTAGTCCAATTCCTAACCACCATTTAAATTGATAATGGAAATGCCCATTTTCTAATCACGTGAATTGTCTGTGAAGGAAATTGTGGAAGAAAAAAAAACCAAATCAAAAGTGGGTCAAACGGGTTAATATTCTATTGGAAATCAAACGAGTCAGCCCAACTTTTCCACCGGAAGGCCCATGAATATTGTTATGTTTTGTGTTCTAGACTAAGGATAGTTTCATACTTTGTGATTTTTTTGAAGATTTTTAGTCTTATTTTGATTTCGGACAAGATCATTGATTTCTTGAATCTGCAGCTATTTGTTGAAGTTAGATCAGATTTGGAATGGTTTTTGGACATTTTTGAGGCTCAACTAGTGGTTTTTTCATCCCATGTGTAGATTCGACCACTGTTTGGACTTTGATCTTGCTGTTTTTGGCTTCAATTCTCCTAGGTGGGATGGGACTAAGTCAGATATGCTTGTCCACGAAGTTTTGTTAGAGTTGGATCAAATTTGAGATTTTTTGGGCCAATTTTGAGGTCTGCTACAGTATTATTTTTGCCTTTGTTCAACTCAGAACTCATCTACATTAAAAACTTGCATTTACTCTTGCGAGCTTTTACATTCCATGCATTAAAGAGGGAAACCAATCTTCCTACAAAGAACCCTAACTTGAGCATCGAAGTTCTCCTGCCAGGACAACACCTGGCACTCTTACCTTGTTCTATTTTGAAGATCAACGTATTCAGTCAACACTTCACCCCTTGGTGTTGAACGGATTCATCACCTAGCTTATAATTTTCTTTGAGATGGAGTAAAGCAAGAAGTCCAGGCCAACAAAATTAAAATTAATTTTGATACCATTACACTGTCATCATACTGAAAAGCTAAACAATTCATTGACATAGTGCTTCAACTTTTGATTGCGCTTTCAGCAAGTCTCTTCTTCCAATAAGTGGTAAGAAGAGTAGACTAATTAAGCACTCATTATATCAAATTCTTGAAGACCTTGTCCATTACTTCCCGCGGTTTGCACATGACCACCAAAGGGTTGGCTCTGGGCATTGCGAGTCCTGTGCCTTCAGCCAAATCATCCTTCTCTGCATTAACTCTATCCCATTCAAAGCTCTGAATCAAAGAACCCAAAGTCGATCCCACCACACGTTGTCCCAGCCCAGCCCCAGGGCAAACCCTCCTTCCCATCCCGAATGGCAATAATTTATGCGCTTCAATTTCTCTACCTTCAAATCTCTCAGGCCTGAAGCAGTTGGGTTCATCCCACACCTCAGGGTCTCTGTGAACGGCCCATGCGTTGGCCAGTATAATGGTGCCGCGTGGCACGTCGTACCCCCCTAGTTTACAATCCTCGGATGATTCATGCGGGAGTATCAATGGAAGTGGAGGAAACAATCTGAAAGTCTCTGAAACTATGTTGTTAAGGTAATGTAACTTGGATAAATCTTGTTCTTTGACCAGTCGGTCAAATCCAACGTGAGTGTCAATCTCATCTCTAGCCTTCTTCAACACCTCGGGATGGTTAACCAAAAGAGACATTGCCCACTCTATTGTTGTTTCTGATGTGTTGGTGCCTCCAATTAGCGTGTTCTGTATGGATCACAAATTCAAAAAACACAAAATTACGTATTTTGCAAGTTTGATGGAGGGTTAACTATAGCCACAGCCATTTAATTTTTTAGGTACGGCTTCTTTATAATTCAACTTACTGTCGATGCATAAATTAAAATATTAATAATTAATTCTTAAAAGAAAGACAATACTTACTAATACGAGCCCTTTGATGATCTCATCGGTGTAATGTTGAGGTTGTGATTGTTGCAAGGAAAGCAAGTGATCAATCATAGTATCATTAGTATTGCATTGGCGACGCTCATCTATTAGACCTTGCAAAAACTTGTCCATCTTCTTACTAATAATGGACATGTTCTTCTCGATTCCCTTGTAATCTATCCAACGTAAAAGTGGCAAGTAATCTCCAGCATTGGAAGCACCTGAAAGCTTGAAAGCGGCACTTATAAGGTCGTGAAATTGTTTTGCCTCTTCCTTGTCCTGGATGCCTACTTCGCCATAGTACCTCTTTGCTGCCACCATTCTGGTTATGTTATTAAAAGTCAGCTCATAGACTTTGGATCTCAATTGAACTTTGGTAAAAGTAAAGCCGTCGCCACCGCCGGATGACGACATCTTATAGAGACTAGACAGTAAACGCTTGACTTCTTCTTCTCGAATGGGAAGAAACATGTTGAGGCGAGCAGGGGAGAAAATTTCAACCGAACACAAGCGACGAAGACTGCGCCAGTGATCAGAGTAGGAGGCTGAAACAAGGGCAGTATAATTGTAGCCCAAGTGCCTGTGCAGGGTGGAATGAGGACGATTAGCAAAAATGGCGTCGTTCTTGGTGAAGCATTCCTCGACCGCGGCTGGGGATGATGCTACAACAGCAAGGCGGGAGCCGAGGCGGAGGGAGAAGATTGGACCATGTTTGAGCGAGATCTTGTGAAGGGTTCTATGTAAGGGATTTTCCAGGAGATGGAGGTGGCCAAAGAATGGACGAGCTGCAGGTGGACTAGGTGGGAGTTTTGATGATCCTGCTGCTGATCTTGATCTTGCTCTTGTGTGAAACAACAACTTGTACACCACCAGAGCTATCAAAGTTGAAAAGAGAGATACGTACAACCATTTGGGTTCCATGCTTGCTCGACTTAATGGCGGAAACATTTTTCGTATTAACTGTTCAGGTGGAAGTGGCTCAAGGAGGTTGAACAAGTGGTATAAATTAATTTCAGGCAGGTCGTGGTTGTCTATTAATATAGGTATAGATATGCTTGCATTACAATGTATGTATGTGCCTCTGTTTGCTTATTTAAAAACCATGAATGGAATATTGTTCATTTATACAAAGATGAAAAAATATTATTTGTATCTAATTTAGTTATCTTATTTGATTACATGATGAATCATATTTATATTTATTAAATTTAATTAATAATAAATATCAATTAATAATATGATAGATCTACTGTAAATCTAAAAATAAAATCAAAATCCACGTAAAATTATTAAAAATTGTTGGTGGACTGGTTCTATGATGTTTGGACCTGCTGTTCACATGGATGGACACATACATGACATTTGTGAATCAGCAATGAGGTGCCTTTTATGATGGATGCATGAAGATTATTGGTGGTCCCACCTAATCTATGGGATTCCGTTATGGGATTTGGACCTGCTGATAAAATTGACTTGTGTGATTTGTGAATCATTATTAGATGCGAGGTGTCAGCCATGTGAGTGTGGAACCAAATCAGCATCATTATGAGAAGGAATCATTGTAGGCAAAAAAGGGTTCAAATCTTCTGTCCCAAATAATCATGCGACAATTTTTCGCTTCGGCAGCAGCACGTGGTTGGTACAGAAGATTTGATTGAGCCAGGGCAGGGCGAAAACGGACAACGAACAGTGCAGTGCATCCAAAGGGGTATGGTATGGCATGGCCTCAATAATCCGGCATCTTAGTGGACGTGGAGGAGATGCATGCACAGAGGATCTCCAATAATTTTGCATCATCTATTATTAAAGTGTGCGGTGATAATTCAGCTACTAGTTAACGAACAGTGTATCAAAAGGGGTAATGAATGACCTCAATAATTAGGCATGGTGGACTCACATCCAATAATTTTGCATTGTCTATTAAGTGCAAGGTGATAATTCAGTTACTAGTGGAGAGGTTGCCATGCAGAGACAAATTCCAATCAGTTTGGCTCATTTGTTTTCTTGTAACTAATATTCAGGTATTGTGGGGCCATGAAATATTAAAAGTGAAAGACAATGGTGAACAAGTAATAAGACAAGACAATGGTAAAATAAGAATTTTATAAATATATACCCACAACTCAAACTTTTTCTCTCCACTTTTCTAAATCGAGTCGTCACTCCTCACTATTTGAGAAGATTGTTTGCATGGCAGAAATAGACATATCAATATTGGTTTCATGTCAATTATGATAGTCCTAGTTGGTTGTTGAAATTAGATGCAAATTAGAAATGAAATTCAAATGAAGATGAAATGAAAATTGAATAATTTGTAGGTTTTTCTTAGAATGAGTTTTAGTATTGATGGTACTCAAAATTACTCTACTTAATTACAGAACAACTGTGCAGTGAAGCCCAGTGAGTACTTTGGCAATACTTGGAATAATGGGGAAATAAATATTAATGTTAGAACTAAGAACAGAATATATGTTGTTCACCTCAGTTGAAAAGTCAAGACTACATCAACTATAATAAAATCTCTTGCTAATTGAAAATTCTATTACTTAAGAAAGAAGATAGCGATTATAGTAAGTTTTTGGCCGGAAGCCTTTTACGCAATACTATGGAAACCCCATCTTTACAGTAGCTTCATCTTCTATTTATACATCTGTCTATCTAGGGTTTCTTGAATTCNGCGCGGTGAAGCCCAGTGAGTACTTTGGGAATACTTGGAATAATGGGGAAATAAATATTAATGTTAGAACTAAGAACAGAATATATGTTGTTCACTTCAGTCGAAAAGTCAAGACTACATCAACTATAATAAAATCTCTTGCTAATTGAAAATTCTATTACTTAAGAAAGAAGATAGCGATTATAGTAAGTTTTTGGCCGGAAGCCTTTTACGCAATACTATGGAAACCCCATATTTACAGTAGCTTCATCTTCTATTTATACATCTGTCTATCTAGGGTTTCTTGAATTCTTTCTTTTTTTGGCTGATTATGTGATTTCCTCTTCATTTGTCTTGTAGTAGGGTCTGTCAGCCTGACGTCTTCTATACCCACGATCCTTAGAAACGGAATGTATACAAATATTCTCTCTCTATCAGGAAATATTTGTTCTTTAGAGTCATCAGAGATTGTCTCTCCCGTCTCCTGGACACGTAGCGTGACTTGGGTTACTTGAGACCTATTCTGTACTGAGCTCATCATTCTCAAGCAAGTACATGTTGTCGTGCTTGACATGACTAGGATGGTACCTCCCGAGCTGAACGATCCTGGGCTTTCATGTCCCTGGGTTGTGGCCCAATCCAATGATAAGGCAGGCACTCTGCAAGTGGGCCATTAAGGTTGTTCTTTAAAAGGGTTCACTTGATGTTTTGGATTCNCAATCCTTAGAAACCGAATGTATACAAATATTCTCTCTCTATCAGGAAATATTTGTTCTTTAGAGTCGTCAGAGATTGTCTCCCCCGTCTCCTGGACACGTAGCGTGACTTGGGTTACTTGAGACCTATTCTGTACTGAGCTCATCATTCTCGAGCAAGTACATGTTGTCGTGCTTGACATGACTAGGATGGTACCTCCCGAGCTGAACGATCCTGGGCTTTCATGTCCCTGGGTTGTGGCCCAATCCAATGATAAGGCAGGCACTCTGCAAGTGGGCCATTAAGGTTGTTCTTTAAAAGGGTTCACTTGATGTTTTGGATTCCAAATAAGTGGCCCAAGCTTAAATCCATCATTATTTAATATAAACTAAGTATTTGCAACAAATTCAATGTAAAAGGTTTAAACAAATTTAACAAATTCATTTTTTTTCTATTTTAATTTTCTTGTTCGGTCTTTTTTTTTGTTCATCGGATATTATTTTTCATCCNCTTGGGCTTTCATGTCCCTGGGTTGTGGCCCAATCCAATGATAAGGCAGGCACTCTGCAAGTGGGCTATTAAGGTTGTTCTTTAAAAGGGTTCACTTGATGTTTTGGATTCCAAATAAGTGGCCCAAGCTTAAATCCATCTTTATTTAATATAAACTAAGTATTTGCAACAAATTCAATGTAAAAGGTTTAAACAAATTTAACAAATTCATTTTTTTTCTATTTTAATTTTCTTGTTCGGTCTTTTTTTTGTTCATCGGATATTATTTTTCATCCTCTAACATATGAATCTTTCATACAATTGTCTATTTTTTTACTTGATCATTATTGTTCTTGTCATATAATATAATGAGAAAGAATTTTTTTTTTGGGGCAGTATTATTTTTATTTAAAAATTGCTTCACCCACCTAAACAAAACATATAGTATAAAATTTAATAGATATTTTTAAAAGATTGTAACTATTAAGAATGAAATAAAGTTTAGCAGATATGAAGGTAATAGAGAGACATTATTAAGAGTCCAACGTGATTTACCCAATTTCCCTTGTATTAAATAGGATTTTGATGTGATTTACGGCGCAGCTCGTCTGCTGTACGCCTGGAAGCAGTGATTATGAGAAGGAATCTTTCCAGACGGAAAGGGGTTCAAATCTTCAACCATGTGAGTTTTTTTTGGTCGGCTGCAGCAGCAGCACGTGGTTTTGAGCACGTGCAAAGACAATGTTCCATCATTTTTGTTCACAAGCTTTTTGGCCCAACTGATTGGTTTTTAACTATTTGATGCGTACTTACCCAAAACGGCAAAAACTATATCGATGCGCAGCATTCAATCAGAAGGATGTTTTGCACAGCAGAAATAGGCAAGGCAATATTGGTATTGGATTGATGATGTCAATTATATATGATGGTCCTAATTGGTAGTTGAAAATAGATGCAAATGTAGATGAAATTAGCTACAAATGACATTCAAATGCAGATGAAATGAAACCACCTAGTCATTCGAGGATTTTCCGGGTCGGCAATATAAATGGCAGCCGCAATTGCACGTGGTTGGGACTGGGACTGGAACCAAAGATTTGATTGAGCCAGGGTGAAAACGGACAATGAATGGTGCATCAAAATGGAGATGACCTCAATAATCAGGCTTGNATTGAGTGTTTGGTGAAAATTCAGCACTAGTGAATTGTGGTGAATAGAAAATTAAGGATCCCATGCAAATACANAATGTAGATGAAATTAGCTACAAATGACATTCAAATGCAGATGAAATGAAAGCACCTAGTCATTCGAGGATTTTCCGGGTCGGCAATATAAATGGCAGCCGCAATTGCACGTGGTTGGGACTGGGACTGGAACCAAAGATTTGATTGAGCCAGGGTGAAAACGGACAATGAATGGTGCATCAAAATGGAGATGACCTCAATAATCAGGCTTGTTGGCGGACCTCCAATAATTTTGCATTGTCATTGTCATTGTCATATAGGAAATTGAGTGTTTGGTGATAATTCAGCACTAGTGAATTGTGGTGAATAGAAAATTAAGGATCCCATGCAAATACAAGTTTCACTATTAGAGCTTCCTTCCACTATAAATGCACTACACTGATGAGTGATCACACAACATAACACAACACAAGACACCTCCACCAGAATCTCCCGTAGCTTTCCCCCCAACCAGAAACAATGGAGAGTTCTCTGGTAGTTTTAGCCTTAGCATGGCTAGCTGCATTGGCCTTTATCTCAAAGAAAATCCGTGAACGAAATCCCCCCAAAAGAATTCCACCTGGTCCAAAACCATGGCCTGTTGTTGGCAATTTACACCAACTTGGTACCCTCCCACATATAACTCTCCACTTTTTTGCCAAAAAGTACGGTGAAATTATGCAGGTCAAATATGGTTCCCGCACAGTTGTGGTTGCTTCATCCCCCAAAATGGCAGAAGAATTCCTCAAGACATATGATAGTTTGTTTGCCTCTAGGCCTCCTCTTGCTTCTGGCAAATACACTGGTTACGATTTCCAAGACATGACATGGGCGCCATATGGACCACACTGGCGAAAAGCACGCAGAATTTACCTGTCTGAGCTATTTAATCCCAATAGGCTTGACTCCTTCGAATATATTCGTGTTGAGGAAAGGCTTACATTCTTTGCTTCACTTTATGCCCAGACAGGAAATCCAATAATCCTCAAAAACTATATAAGGCGTTATACTCTTTCCAGCATAAGCAGGGTGGTATTAGGCGACAAGTACTTCAGTGACCATAAAACAGAAGATTCACTAATCTCAATAAGTGAGTTTCATGGGATGATAGATGAGTGGATGGTGCTTAACGGTGTACTCAACATTGGGGACTGGATACCTTGGCTGCGTTTCTTTGACGTGCAGGGATATGTGAAGCGAATGAAAGTTTTAACAAAGAAGTTCGACAAGTTTCACAATTATGTGCTTGCAGATCACAAGGCCAAGAAGGACTTGGAAGCCAATAACTTCGTTCCTAAAGACATGGTAGATGTGTTGCTGCAGATGACTGAGGAGGATACTGATCCTGAGGTTAAGCTCACCGTGGAAGCTGTCAAGGCGTTAGTCCATGTAAGTATTATATTCTTTTCTTCTCGTTTCAAGCATAATTTTTCCTCTATTAATCTTTCGTTTCTCTGCTACTAGTCGTATTTCTTTTCCAAATGCCACATGCTACATGTTGGACTAAATTGATTGTGTAATTATATGTGTCAGTTGTACCATATAATTAAAAAATATTTTATTGGGTATGATATTTAATAATCACTAATATGAACAAAAAAATTACAGAAAGATTAGAGAGGGTATAATGATAAATTAATTTTTTTTATTAGTGAGGGTATAATGATAAGTTAAATTTGCATGTGTTTTTTTTTTTCCTTTTANAATAGAGAGGGTATAATGATAAATTAATTTTTTTTATTAGTGAGGGTATAATGATAAGTTAAATTTGCATGTGTTTTTTTTTTCCTTTTATTTTTCTTCCGATACTAACTAAATAATGAAAAATTAATCCATCTAACTTTCCATCTATTGTATCAAACAAAAAGGAAAAAAAAAAGTGATTTTTCTTCCTTTTTAAGGATGTAAAGTTTAGACCTCATAATTTTCCATCATTATAATTTTCTATCACTTTTACCAAACNATCCATCTAACTTTCCATCTATTGTATCAAACAAAAAAGAAAAAAAAAAGTGATTTTTCTTCTTTTTTAAGGATGAAAAGTTTAGACCTCATAATTTTCCATCATTATAATTTTCTATCACTTTTACCAAACNGACCATTGTGGCATTATATTTTGGACTATTTGTTTGTAGAATTTTCAGGATTGAACCCAAACAAAAAATTTTAATTCAAGGCGACGTAGGTTCATGTTTGTTTTTTTTTTTTTAGAACACGACGCAGGTTCATGTTAATTTATCACAAAAAGACATNACGGATCATAAGTTTAGTTGTTTGTTTTTGCTCTCTTTTTTGTTGACAAGTCCACATACTTTCTAAATCTGATTTATTTATTTTTAATACTTCTTTTTTTTTATATATTTATATTTAAATTTATATATATAGTATATTCAGCTATACTGTTAACTAGGCTTGCTTAATGGTACTAATTAATTCTAATTAATTATTTCTTGCTGTCCTAAATTATATATTATAATATTAGGACCTAATGCCTGGTGGCACAGACACGTCTGGAGTCACAATCGAATGGGCAATTNTTCTTTTTTTTTTATATTTATATTTATATTTATATATATAGTATATTCAGCTATACTGTTAACTAGGCTTGCTTAATGGTACTAATTAATTCTAATTAATTATTTCTTGCTGTCCTAAATTATATATTATATTAGGACCTAATGCCTGGTGGCACAGACACGTCTGGAGTCACAATCGAATGGGCAATTCATGAACTTCTTAAACACCCCCGCGTCCTTACAAAGTTAAGGGAAGAGCTTGACAAAGTAGTTGGTCGAGAAAGATGGGTGCAAGAATATGATGCCCCCCAACTACCTTACTTAGAGGCCATTATTAAGGAGACATTGAGGTTACATCCACTCTCACCGTTGCTGGCACCACATTTCGCACTTGAGGATTGCAAAGTAGCAGGTTTTGACATAGCTAAAGGAACAAGTATCCTGATAAATACATGGAGCATAGGGAGGGACCCTGACCACTGGGATGAACCTTATGAATTCAAGCCAGAAAGGTTTTTGCAGGGCAGGGACATCAGTATGCTGGGACAGGATTTCACCCTGTTGCCATTTGGCTCGGGCCGAAGAAGGTGCCCTGGCTACAACCTCGGACTTAGGATTGTTCGAACAACAGTTGCCAACGTGTTCCATGGTTTCAACTGGAAATTTCCCGAGGGTGTGAAACCTGAAGATATATGCATGGTGGAACGCTATGGTCTGACTACTTGTCCTGAAGTCCCCGTTACCGTGATCCCGGAACCTCGACTTCCAATCCACCTTTATCAGTGATTGTATTTCTTTTGTTCCTGTCCTGTGTTTTATTAATGTATTTTTCGTCATTCTGTTTGTGGTTTGAAACTTATTATTGTCTTGTCATGGACTGTACTAATAATGAACAAATAATTTGTCTTGGAATAAAAAGTTTGTACCGNATATGGTGAGGACCATCGCTATGGTTGGGATTGAAGGGCTTGTTCGAGGTCAGAGTGTAACACCCAATCCCACTACACTATTATTATAAAAAATAAAATTTAAGTAATCCCGCTATTAATAAAATATTATAACGTGACATTTAAAGAAAACTCACCCTAGAAATATTTATCTTAGAATCATTTTTTTTAAAGAAAAGTCATATGCGCTAAAAATATGTATAAGCATTGCTTAAATGACAAAACAAAAATATTGACATCATATACAACCCAAATTTTTTTTTTTTTTTTAAAACAAGAAACTGACACGAGCCCTTCCCGACACTCTTGATTGGACTTCTAGCTGCGGCAGTGAATTGAAAGTTTGTGTACAATTAATCTGAAAAGTTTTCAAGCAAATTTCAGAGATAGAACAAATAAAGTAATGTGTTGTCCTTGCTCATTTCTGGAATTTTAATATTTGTATTTTCATATCTTTTCTCAAAATTCTATTTTATTGCGCTTTAACACAAAAATAACCATCTTGCCACTAAGGCGACAAAACACCACACAATAATATTTGTGGTTCCATAACTTTTCTCGAAATTCTATTTTATTGTACTACGATTTTTACACATAAATAATCGTTTTGCCACCCAGGCGACAAAACACCACACAAGTTTATCATCATATCAGTATACAATCGTCACTCAGACTACTTAACAAAATGTATCCTTTTTTCGATATTTTTTTTTGAACAACTCACATCACATCAAATATTTAGATTCCGTCGCTTAGACAAAATCAACTTTAACTTATCTCAGTCACGAGGACAAACTTGAATACTTGGGCTACTTTTAGTCACGTAGATATTCCAATCTATCAATTCGCTTTCATTCTTTTGATGTATTCACTACGCAAATAAAATACGTCACTTAGACATCCAACCATTTATCGTCTTAACCATTTGGTTTTTCTTTCCACTTGTCACATAGGCAACTAAACCATAATATTATAATCTATCACAAAGACATCTTATTCTCATCGTAACATTAGAACACTTAAGTCATTTATTCACAATAGAACTCATAAGCTAGACAGTCACATAGAAAAAAAAAAAAAAATGAACCTTCACATTTAGATAAAACCAAATATTTGCATATATACGTACCTTGCTGAAAATTTATTGTGTTAATGACTTCTCTGCTGGAGCTTTTTGAGCAGCGTTCTTTATGACACTCGTTCTTGGACCTGACACTCATTATTCAAAATCTCATTGAGTATTAATAAATAACACCGCTTTACTCGAATTGGTTCACACAAAGCAAATTTCTCAATTTAATCAATCCACATTCAATAACTCATCCACATCTAGTAATATCAATTACTTGAACAAATTGAACTAGTAGTTATAATCAATTCGAGTCACGTGAGAATAACCCATTCATAGGGAGTAAGATTACCTACTTGAATCCATTACATCCAAAGTAAACATTTATCATAAAATTATAGTAACCAAAATGTAGTTGAATCTACATAATTTCCCAATAAAATCATAAATTTGCATGAAAATTTCATACCCATGAATTTCATGAAAATTCAAGAACAATTAACAAAATTTCTAATTATAAATACCCCATAAAATCATAAAATTTCTTGAAAATTCCATATCCATGAATTTCCTGAAAATTCAAGAACAATTAAAAAAATTTCTAAGTACCCACCACACTTTAATTTTTTTTTCTTTTTTTTTCACAACAATACTAACTTAATTTACACACTCACATAAATATCAAGATGTAACCTCCATGCATTAATCAAACCTCATATCCAACATCATATATCAATATATAACATCTAAACACATACAAAATACCATCCTTAAAACACATGCAACACTCAAAATGCCTAATTAAAAATATAATTTCTACATCTTAGAAGAAAGAAAATGAATCATAATTCTTACCTTGTACCCATACTTTATTTATTTATTTTTTCTTCTTTTCTTCTCTTTTCTTTTCTTTCTTTCCCTCTTGGTTCTTGATCTAGCCGAAATATCCCAAATGCAAGAACTCTCTCTCTCTCTCTCTCTCTCTTTGCATGCAAGACTTGCCTTGCATGTCTTGCTAATATATATATATACTCCCTAGCTTATATATGTTTATACATGTATTCTTTACACATATTTATTATATACATACCTATATACTATTATATGTATGTATCCATTTTTTTCTTCTTGTATACATATTTATACATAAACATGTATAGACATATATTCAAATTATTGACAATCTATTAAATTCGTTTCTCGGACCCTTAACCACTTCTTGTATCTACTAATACATTTTATTTCATTATTATTATTTTTATAACAATAAATTGATGTCACATGCTTATCACTCGATTAATTCCACATGCGCTAATGTATATAAAATAATATCACATGTCAACATTCTTATTTAATTTTTCACACTTTAAATAAAATAATTCTCCCTATAATCATTCTTTATAAAATTATTTCTAAATATTAAAATATTCATCGTTCAGGTTTAGGTCTTATATTATTATTTATAATTAAATACTAATCGTCAATCCTACGCATGCATGCCACATATGAATATGTTTATGACAAATATTATATACTGGTCATGCGTGTTCGGATCTTACATAGAGAGTTGTCAATTTTGGATCTCCTATCATTTTAACAAAACGCTCTTCCATTCCATTTTGCTTATCATTCTCAATTCTGCTTACATTTGTTTACTACTCTCTAATACTTCCTTTGGTAGTGTTCTTCCTATGGTCCAATCTATTAGCTTCATTTTTTCTTTACTCTCTGAAATCTTAATTTACCGTCTTTTTTTTTTTTTTTTTGTAAGCTCTATTGTGGTATCAATAGGCCCTGTTTTTTTATCACAAAGGTTACAGTTTATAAAGTACCAAAACAAAAACATTTTTAAAAGTTTTTTTTTGTCAAACATTTTTAAGAGTTCACCAAACTTTTTTAAAGAGCTGTGGAAATGTGGCCTACGCAACCTATCTGTCCCTTCTGTTTATTCTATAGGTCACATTTGAATAAACTGTGCACTTGCCATGTCTCTCTGTCTAAGTGACATTTTGCTTGCTATTTTTAACTGGTCTGACTTAGGGTTTGGTTGTGACAAGCCCTTGATTTATGGAGTGCATTGTGAATCTGGGAACATCATTTTTATTTTAATGTTTTTTCATATGCTCTTTAATGTAAAATAATGATATGTGCAAAACTAATGCCATGCTTTTATGCCCTAATGTAGCTTCTTTTAAGAATGATAATTGTCAAAATCTTATGTCATCCAACTACGTTCATTATCTATATCTATAACTATACATCTAATAAAAGTACTTTAACTTGAAAATTTTTTGATTTACTGTTTTATCCTTCTATAATTCAATATCTAAATTACCATCATATTCTTATGAGTTTTAATCTCAAAATTACCCTTAACATCTCTTTTAATTCTCTATTCTCTATTTATAAATATCAATATCTATGAAACTTTTTAATGGAATATGTTACCCTTAAAAATATGCATTGATTAGAATATTAATAATTATTGTTATTTTATTCAATGAATTATAAGTTAAAACCTAATTAAGTAAATTTTAAAATGAATTATTTTTATCCTTTTTTTTTCTTAAAGTCAGAACAATGAATTCTATAGTATAATATGAGCAATAAAAGTATAACTTTTTTTATAAATTTGAGAAAATATTTAATTTAGGAACATATATCTAAATTTTTTTATTAATATTTTATATACGAAAATTATTCACGTGTAACACACGTGGTGCATTGCTAGTAATGTGAAAAGTAAATTATATAAAAAGATTGCATTTTGTGTCTAAATTGTATTTGATGATGATGGGATATCGGGAGTGGGCTTGGTGTTCTATTGGTGGACTTTTTGAAGCTCGGTCGCCCTCCGATTGACGTCATTCCTCAGGTGATAAATCTCCCTCCCAAGAGCACAAATGTGCGTTGTCGCCTGGGAACAAAAGATAAAAATCACAAACTCATGAAGATAAAAACAAGGAGAAATAAAGATAAGGTAAGAACTTACCTCAAGAAGGGCGTGGAACGCTTCTCGACTCTAAGCTCAAAAAGGAAGGTAGACAAAACGTCGCAGATTAGTCTGGGGAATCAATTCCATTAGTGAACTACTTAGACTCACATCTCTCAATAAGATCCCTTCAAAATTGGTAATCGGGGCTGGGGGCACGTCCCGAGCTGGTACCTACAGTTCCAACTGAAGGACTCCGTCGAACCAGCCCTCCCGCAGGGTTAACCTTGACTGTGCTGGCTATGGCTTCCTCGGCACCGGCTCTTGGTGCTGAAAACACCTTGGACATCTAAGTGGAGCCCAGAGTCTGCAAAGCCTCGTTAACGGCAACAGGAACCTCGGTCTCAGCAACCAGGCCTAAAGCTGGGTCTGAGCTACTCTCCCCCAGCCTAGCCCTCTTCGTTGGAGGATTTGAACTCCGAGCTTGCCTCCTCTCACCCACATACTCCATGATCATGTCATGATGGGTAACTAGGTACAAAGGGACTGCACATGCAAAACAGGTAACGTAGTAAGTCTTGCGAACACATTAAAAACAAGACGACAAGAAAGGAACAACAATCATTCACAGCTACTTGGCACAGAGGCAAGCTTGAGGTGCATCAACTCAACATAAGAAAACGGCAAACGAGCCTGAACTTGATTAACCCAAGCCAGCTCCTCGGTAGATAAGGGAGGAAGCTCACCTGCACCTCACCAAAAGGGGATGAGAAAAAGCAACAGTAAACACCATGATGGCAAGCTAATTAAAGGCAAACTCACCAAGATTATTGCGCTC